AAGCTAATTAATATTAAAATAATATAATATTGCGCTCTAGTGAGATATTTCAGTGTTTAAACTGCTATTCAAATCATAAACTATAAAGTAACTACTATCTGTAACATAATAAGGAATATCAAATTTAAATCAAACCTTTTCTTGAACCAGTCTCTGCAAATGGATCCCGCAAGACAACATAGAAGAGAACATAGTCATCATATACTGTTGAACTTTACATATTCCAGTTGCCAGTGAATTTATCACAGCTGTTAATCCCACTTTTTCAATCACACTCTGGAAAGCACTAGGTGAGTGACGAGTAATTTTGCATAGTGCCTAGATAATATAAAACAAAGCACTCTGATCAGATAAGGTTGTTACTTATTAAATATTTACTAAATATTATTCAGAATGTTAACATTTGTATATATCCATGTATACAAGCCACTCTTAAGAACATAAGAGACGCCAATGTTGGATCAGGCCAAAGGCCCATGTAGTCCAACACTCTGTCACACAGTGGCCAAAAATACCAGGTGCCATCAGGAGGTCCACCAGTGGGGCCAAGACATTAGAAGCACTCTTCAACCTGAAGGACGGGGCCAAGACATTAGAAGCACTCTTCAACTCTTCAACCTCAAAGTAGGAAAAATCCCATTTGTTCACCATGATTAGGGGGGTGAACTGGTGGCCTTAATGACCAGTCCCATTGGGCAGATGGCCTAGGGGTCACCCTCCACCAGTGCCATCCTGACCTCAGGGCAGTTTTGCAAGAAACAGGCAGAAGCCACCAACACTGTGAGTTTGCAAAGTCTGTGGGGTGTGTGTGCTAGTGCCACAATCCAGGACAGATGGGCATGAAGAGGGGTAGGAGCCATTATCACTATGAGCTGGAAACTTTTGCAAAAGGAGTAGAGCTGCTAGTACCACAACCCAGTGACCCCCACTTTGCAGATGCCAGGAGACCCCCATCCCACACAAGGCAAAGAGGCATGAAAGGAACTATTGCAGCCACAAGTCCCACAACCCACAATTTATCATGATGGCTCAGTGCTGCCTAATTATCAATCAAGAAAAACCCAGAAAACCCCCAACATAATTGGTATCAGAAATGTAACATGGATTGCCTTTCTTCCTAGAATTATATTTTTCTATGTACAACCCCCATCCCACAACTTGCAGCCACAAACTTGACCATTCAATTCTAACAAACGTATTAACTGACCCTTGGTAACATGAAGATCCTCGATGCAGTTAACCCCCCCACCAAAAAAAACCCTCTGTATCAATTTTAGTAACATAATTTGTTAAATAAATAGAATGGCAGAGTGATAATTGTGGAGATATAGTCATCTAACATAGACCCATGACAGGGGATGTGGAGGGTTTCCAGGTTGGGCAGGGGAGAGATCAAGAGGAGCTCCAATATCTGAAAGGAAGTTGCCAATATTATTTGGGACTCCTACTTTAGCTTAAAGTGTATATATTGAACATGGTATAGTTCAAACACTAACACAATGAAATAAAACAATAAAAGTAGTCAAATGCAAATATTCGCTCACTTGGTGTTACTAACAATTTCCCAGTTCAGTAACATAAAAGGTATATAAGGATGACCAACTTTTTGTGAGCTCTTAAATCTTTATACTCCTCTGCAAGGCAGAATTAGCTCACATTTTAGTGAATTTATGTTTGCATTGTTCTAGAACTATAACAAAACATTTTGTGACTAATGAGATCACATCTGTTCTAGTTATTTAGAGACAAATCTTCTTAGAAACAAAGTCTGTAAGCATGAACCTGTTCTGACTGTGAAATGTAAGAGAACTATTTCTGATTTTTGACACTAGCAAGATGATGAAAGATTCGGTCTCTCCAGAAAGTATGTCTGTGACACATACCTGAAGCAGGTTCCACTCCAAAGCAAACAGAAAATGTTGTGACACAGTTCTGGTTTATCACCCATGGCATTTAAGACTGCACAGGGCAGCGATATTTACTATGCAACCTGCAGGCTGCAGAGTGGATACTTCCAGCATAAAAAGTCTTTCCTTAACACTAGATATGGTTGGGGAATTATACTTTTATTAGTGATTTTAAAAATGAATTACAATTCCAGCGTTCTTCTTTTGATGTAAAATGTTACTCTAAAGATGTACAATGCCGGTTACAAAAGCTGACCAAAACTGAGGAATTTTTCAAAATACTTTGTAATCGGTCAAAGAGCCACAGTAGGGTAGCAAAAGTATTATGTGCTAATATAGTACTAAGGACAAACTGGTTATGTATAATATATAGTACTGAAGAAAATACTGATTACCAAGGAAAAGCTGATTATGTATGCATAATAGTAAGAAAGAATTCCTGTAAGGAGAATCCATATTATACATGAACACATTAAATACAGAAGTTGACAACAGCTCATTAGAAGGTTTCCATTCAGCGTATGGCATATTAAGCTTGATTCATAAACATGTACTCAACTTTCCTATCACATTAAAAGTAAAGTATTTCGCTATGCATTCTCCTGATACTTGCCTTATAATTGATTAAATAAAATTAAATATTCACATTGTCGTTTTGTAATTCCAAAATGCAAATTGGAAACATAAAACAACCACCAAAGAGCGAACTAAAATGCAGTTCATTTTCAAAAAGAAAAAAAAAACAAAATCAGAAAGTGCCAATAAATAAATACCACAAGAGGTCGTTTGCAATAAACAATGCACAAGGAACACCAACATTTTGTACACATTCTTTAAACTGAACTAGCAAAATATGCATATTGACCTACGCTGGCTAAGGTCAGATATTATAAAGCTGTGATGGGCATAATCCTGGTTAACTGCCATATTCACATGCTCTCCTTGCAACTGAAAATATGCATATTGACCTACGCTGGCTAAGTTCAGATATCATAAAGCTGTGATGGGGATGGGCATAATCCTGGTTAATTGCCATATTCACATGCTCTCCTCGCAACTGGAACACCAAAACTGAAGACCAGTCCTTAATTCCAGTTACTGATATTCAGATGCAGGCACCCTCATGGAGGCTGGCTTCTTTACCAATGCAGTTCTTAACCCCGGGCTTTTCTGCACACTCAACTTACTCCTGATTTTCTTGGCAGTCGATCCACATGCATTGGAATCAGTTTGGGAATGGTTCTTCCACATGTCTGCCCGCCCTCTGAATTGTGGGGTCAGTTTATGTCTTCAATTACAAAGATTTTCAAGGAAGGGTGTCATCATAATCACTGGTGTTATCACTGGCGTCACAGCACCCCCTGTTTTTTAAAGGCACTAAGTATTCCTATATCACTGGAGCATTGTAATAATAGACTTAGGAGAGTCTATGAATTCCCATCTTTCATTTTTAAAAGTCTCTAACTTCTCCCTTGTAGAAAAATGCCTTATTCCTTATACCTCTGTGAGGGAAGGTATTAGAGACTTACCTTTTCCCTAAAATGAAAGCTGGGAATTCAGAGAACTTCCCAAGCCTATTATTACAATGCTCCAGAAATATATCAATATTTTAGGGCTGTTAAAAAAGAGAGAGAAAATGAAATCATTTATCTTGGGGGGGAGCAGTGGTTTGACCATGACAGTTGGATGGTAGTGGGCGGGACAAAGAAAACAGACAGAAACATATCAAGGAAAAAGGCCACCTCAAAACTGGCTTCTAGAAAACATCAGTGTAAAGGTGGTCTCAAAAGAACCGGGGGGGAAACAATAAAAAAGACAAGTGAAAACTAAAGGAATAAAAATGGATGCAGAAATTGGAATAAACTGAAGCCCTATGGGATCAGAACCAACCAACCAAAAAAAAAAACCATGAGGAAAAGCCCAAGGGTTGAATAGAAGTTAAGATTCAGTTACTGGAAAAGAAACAAACCTCACTGAAGGTGCCTACATTTGGACATCATTGTTGGAATATGTAAGTATTCAGCATGTGTGAAGCATGGGTAACAATGTAAATAGATCATGCCAATTTAGAATGACAGATGTCAAAGTAACTGACAGTCCAGGAGACTAGAACAAACCAGTTCTGACTGGTACAAAGCTGATGTCTAATCAGAGTGACTCAGCAGTGATATGATTGGTCATCATATGTATATAACTGTGAATGTACTGTACATTGTGTGCTGACTTGAATGTTAACTGCAGTTTATGTCTTCAATTGCAGTATAGCGCACTCTGCGACAATCATCACTACTGAGAATTAAAAACTTCTATATCAGAGGTGTCAAACTCATTTGTTACAAGGGCCAGATCTGACATAAGTGTCAGTTTGTTGGGCCAGGCAATATGTGCCATAAAATGTAATGTCAAGTACTGGAGATATAAATTTTATAAAGGACACTTAAGCAATTGATTCCTAGTAGTGAAAGCAATTGATTCACTGGGGAATCCACAAAAGTCTGGTTCTCCCCCTACCCCCAGTTCTCACCCCTCTTGCATTTCCCATTTTAGTATACTGTGTGAGGGCACCATACAAACTATCAAATAAACAGGTTTGTGCTGGCCATAAATAAACCATGAATTAATTGTGAAAATAAGTCTCTCTATAAAGTAATTTAAAGTAATAAAGTAATAAAATAACTTTGGCATTTTTATTTATAAGTAGCTGGCTTGTAAATGGAAGTCTAAGTAAATAGCATTTTTTTCAGAAGAGAGCTCCAAAAACGCTTAATATATAATATATATAGCCACACCCCCAACGTCAGCAACGTCGCACGTCACTTCTGGTGGCGTGCTGCCGGCGCGCGCGCGCTTCGCGCACACGCACTCCCAGACATCTCCCGGACCAAGGAGAGGCTCCCCCACCGCGAGGGGTAAGTATAGTTGGCAACCCTAGCCAGTTCCAGCCCTTGGGCCATACGTTAGACACTCCTATTCTATATCATTTTAGTATACTGTGTGAGGGGACCACACACCCTATCAAATAAACAGGTTTGTGCTGGTCATAAATAAACCATGAAATAATTGTGAATGTAAGTCTCTCTATAAAGTAATTTAAAGTAGTAAAGTAATTTTGGCTTTTTTATTTATAAGTAGCTGGCTTGTGAATGGAAGTCTAAGTAAAGCATTTTTTCAGAAGTGAGCTCCAAAAAGGCTTAATATATAGCAGACCCTTTGATAAATAAAGGGGTGGATCCTCAGCTTTGGCTTTCTCAATACATTATCTTTGTAGGGAAGTTTACTAAAAACTACAATCCACTGCCATATACAACATTGTTATGGAAGTAAATCCCAAACTATTTCAATTAATTCATGTGTTTAACTGACTTGAAATTTCTGTATTATAAAGAGGCAACTGTTTACCCTCAAAAGCACAATTTTTAGTTTTGGTATAACTGATTTTAAGATACTCTCTTTTGGAACACATGCTCAGGTTCTCAGCAGTTACAGTGCCATCATAAGCACAGTTATACCCTTCTCTGCCCACTGAGTTCCACCTAAAAAGGGTATAACTCTGCTTAGATAGCATTGTTCGTTGTCCAAGACAGAAGAGGAATTATCTTAAGGACATATGGAGATTTTATTTTTTAAGAATTCATCTCTCAATTTCATTCTTAAGTCATTAATTAGGGTTGCCAAGCTCCCGCTGGTACATATAATAACACAGTCAAAAACTGCAACACTGTACCCAAAAATTCAAAACATTCTTATATTAACAGTGTAGTACTCTAAATAACCATTCAGACCCATTCCAAAGACACTAATGTGATTAGTCCAATACCCTGCCCTTCACTTGGAATCTCAGAGCGGCTTACAAACTCCTTTCCCTTCCCCTCCCCACAACAGACACCCTGTTAGGTGGGTGGGGCTGAGAGAACGCTGACACAAATTGCTCTTTTTCAAGGACAGCTGTGCCAGAGCTTGTGACTGACACAAGGTCACATCAGCAGGTGCAAGTGGAGGAGTGGGGAATCAAACCCGGTTCTCCCAGATTAGAGTCTGCACCACTTAACCACTACACATAAGTCAGAAGCAACTTGACGAAACTTAACACAAACACATAACATATTGCTCTGCAAAAATATAGGCACTATATAGACTTCAACAAAGAGTTAAAAACCTTTCAAATATATTTGGAATTCTATACTCATTCCAGTTCACAAAACTTTTAAAATACACAAAGACATGAAAATTAGGTACAAAATGAACTTTATTTTTTATGAACAAAATTTGCTTACCGAAATAGCAGTTATCCTTAAAGAATCTATGGTTGAATGTTTAAAAAGATACCACAATACTGGTCCAATTTCTCCAGTAATAAATCCCTGAGCATGGCAAGAAAGAGTGGAGCAGACATTTTCAACTATTTTTGCAGCCATGTGATTCACAACACGTTCTTCCTAGAAAGAGGGAAAATACATGGACTAAAAAATATTACAGAATAATATCCTCATGCCATGATTTTCCCCACAATTATGAATAATTATGGATTATTTCTCTTTTATCACATGGACTAATTCAAATCAATTCTTCAACTACCATCGTTTTGAGAAATAGCTACCACTACTGAGTATAAAATCTTTTGTCAATGTAACACCTCATGCTCCTCTCCCCTCCATTCTATCAAATGGTTATCCCTCTCTAATGGAGTCAAGGCTGAGTATATGCGATTCACCCCCCATCTGTGTTATCCTCAGAACCCACGTAAATTAGGCTAAGAGACAGTGACTGTTCAACATAATCTAGCAAGTTTCATGGCTAAAATGGAGTTTGAACTCACCAGGTCTTTCCCATCAGTCTAGTTCTCTAGCCACAAGACCATATGGCTATTTGCAATACAGGGAACACAGACCTCAGTTTTGTTCTTGCAGTCAAGACCTTTCATTCATGTTTTCCTGTTCTTGGGAACCAGAAAAAGAATAGGATCTTCCAGAAATCAACCTATGTCTGCAAGTGGCCAAAAGCTTCCAGATGGCCTTATCCATTTGCATTTCTACTGGATTCTTTGAAGCCACGGAATCAACAAACTTGTCCCAGGGCATAGCCATGGAAGACTGTCCCTTTCAACCACTAGTTTAACACATCTTTTCTACTCAGAATCATAGAGTTGGAAGGGACCCTCCAGGGTCATCTAGTTCAACCCCCTGCACAATGAAGGAAATTCACAAATACCTCCCCTCCATCCCCAGTAACCACTGTTCCATGACCAGAAGATGACAAAAAACCTCCAGTATCTCCAGCCAGAAAAACTGCTTCCTGACCCCAAAGTGGTGATCAGCATTTCCCTGGGCATGTAAGAAAGGGCCACAAGAACTAAGCACTTGACAGCAAAGCATTGCAACCTCCCCTCTTTTATGGATTCTGTCTCCAAGCAGGTTAATATTGAAGGTTATAGCCAATAATTACAGGTGTTTTCCTTCTATTTTATTTAACAAGAGGTGTACTAATAAGTTTTATCCAAAAAAAGATTGCTCATTTCAATCCACTGCTTCACAGAGAAAAGTATTAGTTAGAAATAGAAAACCAAGTAAATGGATTTTACCCTCTCAAATTCATTATAAAATATTACTTCCACTCATAAGAAAGGCCAAACAAAACCTTAAGTAACAAAGTTTTTTTAAACTTGAGGACAGTACATATGACCACAGCCTCCTTAATAACACTTTATCTAAATATCAATGCCCTTCAAATACCTGGCAGTTATTTGTATAATCATAAGAACTATGAGCACCAATCAACTTCTAAAGAAGATGGCATAATTATTATACACACACACCCTACTTTATCTATAGACCCTCTTTTGGTGACTTTAAGTGGTTGTCACATATTAAGATATTATACATAAATTGTGCATTTAATTTCTTAACATTAAATTATCTTTAAATTAATTTCAATTGGACAAACACTTCAAATATTTATCTCACACTGATTTTATACTCATGTAGCACTACATTTGGACTGTAGAATTAACACCCAAACTGTGCTTGTCTAACATTTTTTATGTATAGCATTGTGAAACAATCACCACAAACAAGTGACAATTAAATGGCTTTAAAATCACTACACAAGTGTTTGTTATAGCAAAGTAGTATAAACAAATATAGATTTCATTTCAAATTCATGTTTTTATTTTGACATATCTGCACATCCATAACAAATCATAATTCTAAATAGAAAATGATCTAAAATATGTTACTATTTAAAGGATTAATGATCTGAGTTTCTTATTACACAGGAATAATAGAAGCACTTATCACGATCCCAATATAGGTTAAAATTTGCATATTAAATTAAAACACATGCTAACAAAATCAAACAGATATCAATTATTACAAACAGTAACAATCTGAGGAACATACAGCAGTGATTTTGCCTATCTACAGAAAATGTGTCCCTTAAGGGTTTCTTTAGTTTGCATGTGGCATCCAATAATGAGATGAAGTATGACCTGTGCCAGACAATCGTAGCATCTTGGCTGGAAAAGGGTCATGGATTGTCACAATGTTCCATAAACTCAATGAGGCTGTCAGACTAATTCAATTTGCTGCCACCTGAGATGGGCTGTCTTTAGCCCCTTTGGGATCTATTATCAAAGAGAGTCTATAAAGCAGAAAGACTGCACCATTTTCTGCTTAATTACCTTTCTGGAAGGGAAGACTAAACTAAACTAATATTTGGTCTCTTATGCTGAAGAACTCTGTTTTGCCATATCATGAGTCTATGAGCTGTGTTCATAAGAAATGAGTACAAAGCTCTAGTCCCTCTTTGTGCTTCTCATAAACCGTTCCAATGAACAGGATGGAAAAGTCATTGTGTTTTCTAACTGAATTCCAGCTTTTCCCCAAACCAGTAAAATTTAGGAGATGCTGACCACCTGCAGTTTCAGTGGATATTCAATCCAATCATGCAAAATAAAAGGATGCTAATGTTGGCAAGTTTTCCTTTCAGTCAGTAAAGACCTGTATAGGATCAGGCTACTTGTTACTCTGGATAGGAAGAAATCAAATAGTGCAGGAAATGCTTTAGAACATTCATGTTCTTCAGGCTAATATGGGTATGCATAATTTACTGCCTACGTGCATCATTTGAGGAGGTGGAGACAGGAAGAAGAAAATCAACAGGCAGTCACACATCCATCTTGCTGGTAGATCACCTACACACACAGCAGAACTCCATCTGAACATTAGTGATTTGCATGACCAGGCATCTAAGGGCATTCATTGCTGGTTGAAGTCCCCAAACCAATTGCTGATTACAAGCCTGTCACTGATGGATGGGTGGCCGTGAGGAAAAGTAACCACCACCATTCAGCAGTGCCTGATGGTGGCTGCTTTTGGTCCTCCACCTGCTCACTCAACATCAGAAAGAGCAGCGCTCCTGGTAAACACCAAGTGTTCATTAAAATCACCATCCTTCCATAGTGGCCAGCAAGATGCTGCTGGAAAACCTACAGGTTGATCATTCCAAGACTTTGTTTAATTCCCTTTTAATGCCATAAAAGCTGCTATGGTCAGGGTGGAGATGGGCAATCTTTGAGTATTATGAACCTCTAGTGTAGTAAACTGGTGGGGGGCATGCAACCCAACCCATTCTCCATAAAAAAAGACTGAATTTATAAGAGTTATTTGTATAAGAACACAAAAAACCCCCAAGATGTGGGGATTCTATTTTTGCCTTCTGTTCTGAGCATCATTCAAAGAATTCTCTATTTAAAATTATTTTTCATTTATTAAAAATGGGTAATGCATAAAAATAAAAAAATAAAAGTGTTTGCTTGATATTCACCCCCTCCCAACTTGTAAGAAATGCTTTCAGCCTTCAGCTTTGCCTTAGGCATCAATGAAGTCAAACTGGCCTCAGGTAAATAGTAAATTCATCCTTCTATGTGGCGCTAATTCACTCTCTGCTATTTTATTAAACAAGAAATTCACATGGCTGGCTTCTGAATAAAGGAAATCATTGCCATAAGAAAGAAACATAAAGACAGCAAGAAGAAAAATAAACACACCAAAAAAACCCTATTTATTACTTCAAAGCCCCCTAAATATAAGATCCTCATGAGATGGCAACTAATGATTACAAAAAAAGGAGAATTTTACAAATGCATGCTATGACAGGAATTGTATTAGTTGTCAGTACACTCCTTTAAGAATTCTGTAACCTGAATAATACATTAACCAAGCAAATTTTATTTCTAAAATCAAAATCAGATAATTTATAAATGCTGAGCATATAGAAAGAATCACTTTATTTTTTGCCCTTTGTTCTTTGGTGGGTCATGGTCTTATGATTATTTAAATTCAGGAGCAATCCTTGGTTGATAAAGCACTGCACTGCTCCAGGCTACAATCCTCACACAATGCCTAAAGGGTTATTAGAATGGAGAGAGTCTATTGAGGACAACAAAAGAGCCTTACCCCTTCCCGAAGGCATCTCATTAGTACAGTGTAAGCAGCTGAAGGAAGGACCCAGCTCTCTCTGGGGTGTTCTTTTTTCCCTTCCTGTAAAGGAAATAGATGGACCAGAAGTGAAACAGATAGCTCAAATTAAGTTAAATCTTTCCTGCAAAAATTAGAATTTGAAGATACACAATTGATAAACTGCTTTTGAAATGATGACTCTGATGCCACGCTAAACACCAGTACTAAACTGACTTTGCTAAAAACGTAACTTCTGTGTACATATTAGTCACAACATAGCATTAGTACTCTCAGGGTTTTTTTTAAGGGACAGCATATTTTTCAAATGAAAATTATTGAGGACAGCGAACTGAACAGGGCTGAAATGCACCTCCATTTTTTTTATACAGTGATGGCTGAGCATCTCACTACAGATTATTATTTTTTAGATTTCTCTCCTGCCCTATGCCAGATGGCTGAAGGCAGATTACTTGCATATCCTTTCCTCATTTACAGTGTGGCAATAAATCAGATTCTTAAGAGTTTTACAAGATGAAAAGGAAAAATTACAGATATGAGTGTTATCAAATTTCTCCATAATTTTTTTTAAAAATACCATAAAACAAGATCTCACTTGATTTCCTTAAAACGTATTCTCCAAGTTACTTTCTAGCTTTCAATAAGCACCACTTTGTTTTAATTTATCCTGAGTCTCCCAGCAAAATTAATGTACAATTCAACAACCAATCCAAGTCTGAGACTAAAAAGGGAGGGGTTGCAATATCTTTACCAAACAGCAACACTGAAATTAATTGATTACTATTTAGGGCTTTCTTTAATAGTTAGATGGTAATTTCATCTAAGGTATTAAATGGAGATTTGCCTCTTCAGGAGAAAAATTGTTTGGAGTAATTTATATCCATCTTTCCTATCTGTGCAAACAAGGTTTGACTGCAGAATCTTCAAAAAGCTACCTAATGGATAATGTCTTCCTCTTAAGCGCCAAGATTCTCCAAAAATCTTTTGAATGATTCATCGACATGGAAAATCAACATGAGCAAGATCACACAAAACACTCTCAGTGACTACTCCATAATCATAGAGCATCTTCCCCTTATTTTGTTATGTTTGCGTTGACTTTTGAATCTGGAATGTTACTAGAATCATTAAGTGGCATAAGGTACAACTGATATAACAAAATCGGTAAATGTAGAATCCCAGTGATCAGGAATTATTTTGAGTAACTGGACATATTATTCACACTTAAAATTAAATATGATATATAGTGTTAATATTTGATTTATAGCAGAATCTGGTAGTGGCAGCCATTGCAATGGAGCTACTCCTGTGTTACAATCAGTAACATTTGAAAGGTAGTGATCTTGTGGGTAGAAGCAAACAATAGTTCCTTTTCTCACCAGAACCGCTTGACCAATTCCACACAGGATTTACATTTCAACAACCAAAAACGAAAAGAAAAAGCATTAAGGTAAAACATGGAAATGTTTAAAACGAACAGATATAGCAGTCTACAAACCATCACTGGAGTTACCCAGTTCACCAAGAATGGAGATAGAACTGATGTGAGGATGCTTCTTCGCTTAATAAAAATCTAACCTAAAACATAAATAGTATGTGTCTTGAATTCAGAAGCCGATTTATTTTATATTTTCTAATTTCATATTTGTAGCATTTTCTCAGTTATAGATACAAATTGTAGATTTCTCAGTTATAGACACAAATTCAGAACTAGAGAGGTGAACAGTTCTGAGCATAACAGGAATAACTTCTACTGAAATTCTCATGTTCATGCTTCTGGCTTGATTATTCAGGCTTAATGCCCTCAGCTAGCCATCTTAGGAACTAGACAGAAAGCTAATATAGTAAAATATGGATATATCTCCAGGAAAGGAGACATATCTCTTTAGTTTTTATTTCCACACTGAAGCCAACTATGTCTACAGAAAAGAATTTCTCATCAGGAACAAAATATCAAACATGCAACTCTACTGACAACATTCTTTTCTACTGCTACATATATAGATTACTTTTGCTGTTCTGAGAAATCACATAAAGAAATATTTAAAAGGTAAAGGTTCCCTTGCTCGAAAGCCAGTCGAGTCCGACTCTAGGGTTGCGGTGCTCATCTCCGTTTCAAAGCCGAAGAGCCAGCGCTGTCCGAAGACGTTTCCGTGGTCATGTGGCGTACGGAACACTGTTACCTTCCCACCGAAGTGGTACCTATTTATCTACTTGCAATTTCTTGCTTTCGAACTGCTAGGTTGGCAGGAGCTGGAACTAGAGATGGGAGCTCACTCCGTCATGCGGCAACTCAGGTCTTGAACTGCTGAACTACTGACTTTCCACAGCCTGCAGTTCAGCATCTTAACCACTTGAGCCACCGCAGCTTCTAAAGAAATATTAGGAACCAGTTAAAAGTGTATCTGGAAGAAACCTAAAATACTAAATCAAAATTATTTTAATACCCCCCACAATTAGCCAAATTTACATGCAGCAGAGGACTCAGGAGGTGTTTTGGATTTATCAGCCATTTGACACTGAGGAGAAACAGAGGGCTTCTTTCAAGCAAAACAGTCACACTCTCATCTAAAGCCAGAGAATTTATGGCACCCTATTTAGTACTTAGCCTTCATGCTGAAACCCAGACATTGAAAGCTCCAAGGCGTGAATTCCATTATTTTCTCCATTATCTTCTCTAATTTCACTATTACTGTCATAAAACTTTCTTTGTTCCATTTTTGACTACTCCCCTTCCTTTTCCAACAAAACTATTATTTCTTTCCCCCCCACTCCTTCCCTCATACTTCAATCAAACCTCACCCCTGCTTTATCCATCTCCACAGCCTTTCTCAAGTTCAATCCCACCCCTTTCCTTAAAAAGAACATGTTAAGAAGGTTTTCTTTGAAATCTGCATTTTCAGTCATTTCAATAAGATATTCTGTGCCTTAGGAGTTGGTCCTCATGCACGGCAAGTGTGGTGGACCAGGCCTGCTCTGGCCTATAGGCCCTATTCCACCCTCCTTTTTTTTAATTAAAGTTTTATTAATTCAAATCTTACAAGTTAGTTAACAAGCTTTTTTACAACAAAAAATAATAAATTCAACATTTTTAATGGTCTACTACAAGTTGCCAACTCTGTTCTGCTTCTACCTCATTTGTATATAATACTCATTAACTGAGTCTGATAGAGATTGGCGTGCCTGAATAAATATTTCTGCCTCTCAAAATTACTCCAGTACCAATGCTTTATTTATAAATCCTATTTCCCATTATTTTCCTTATAACCATTTGAGTAATGTTTTGTTAGATCTCCTTATGCTTATAACTATATATTCTATACATATTTCATTTCTCATGGGACTCAGCAGTGTTCTGTGTTTACTTTCTGCTGGTCCCAGTTTTCCAATTCCGTCACAGTAACTCTATAGCTTCGATCTCCTCCAATGTAGTTCTTTACAGTCTTATGGTACCTTCCTCTTCTTCCAGTTACCAATTCTTAGCTTCTTAGCCCGAGTCCAATTCCAACGCCTTCAGAAGCTCCTCACGAGATGTTAAATCATGAGCTGTGTATATGCGTCCTCGCTGTGTAACCGATATATGGCCGAGTGGAAGCCAATGGTACCTACTGTTCCTCTCTGTGAGCTTTTGTGCAATTGGGCACATATTTTTCCTGGCATTTAATATTTCAAAAGGAATATCTGGATACAGCTGAACCAAGGTATCTTCGAGCTTCAGACCTCAATTCTTCATTGCAATTTCCAAAAGGTGCCACTTTGTATCCTTAAGTTCTGCCACCATTTTCGGTATCAATGCTGGTGAACCCGTTCAGGGAGGGTTTAAACAGTAGGCATTGTTTACCACAAGCCCCGGAAGCTGTATAATTCCCTCTAGCCACTTGTCTGAAGTGGCCGTAAGGTCCATGTTTAAATAAAAATTCAGGAAAATTCCACAAATGCTGATCCCTAGATACCTGAATTTCAATTTTTTGTCAATATCTGGATACAGCTGAACCAAGGTGTCTTCGCGCTTCAGACCTCAATTGTTCATGGCAATTTCCAAAAGGTGCCACTTAAAGTATAGGATTTAGCAAACACCATCATTTTTTTTTTATTTTTGTGTTCTAACGACTAGTCCTCCTTTTACACAGTATTCCACACAAATGCTTTTAATAGTTTATGTAACCCAAGCAGAGTGAGTGATAACAGAAGCGTATCATCTGCCTACAGCAACAGTGGCAATTTCTGTCCCACCGGTGCTGGTGCATGGGTCAATCAGCAAAAGAGAGACATACAATCCAATCATAAAGTTCCTCCCATGGGGTAGCTGAGAAGGATTAACATGTCCTTCCCTAGTGCTGCTTGTCCATCAGATCTCTTAGCTAACAAAAATATGCTCCTATAACAGCCTTAACATCTTTCTTAATACTATAAAAGTATCACTTTTTGTTTACGCCCTTTTTAATGAAATATTGCAAATGCCACAGCCAAGGATTCAGGAATCCTGAGAACAACTTTTTAAGATGCTCACCTTTTTGTTTATTTACCCATAAGTAAATAGAGACGTTTGTTTCTGTTTGTCTTACCTGGCTGGCCACAAGATAAAGTAATTCTCCAAGGCTTGGTAAAAGGCACTGTTTTAGTTTACTATTCCTGAAGTTTTCTCTGATCAGTTCAGTTAACAGAGTGACAGCCTGGAGAAAAAAAAATTAGCAGGAATAAGGTGCATCATGGGACAGAATGTCAATCACTCAATTCAAAGATACATGAAGGAAAACAAAATACATTTTCCCCAGCAAAAACCTGCCAAAGAGTTATCATTTATTAATTAATAAAATCAGCCCTGCTGGATCAGACCACAGGATAATCTCGTCCAACATTCTTTCCAAGAAGCCAGAAGCAAAAGCCGGGTTCCCCATCATTTACCAGAAACCAGCATTCAGAAGTATACTGTATTTATACCTCCAATTGGGTAGCCATGTTGGTCAGAAGCAGCAGAACAAAGTTTGAGTCCAGTGGCACCTTTAAGACCAACAGAGTTTTATTCAAGGTATAAGCTTTCATGTGAACACACACTTCTTCAGATACAATGAAATGGAAGTTACCAGTCCATACATATAGGTAGAGGTGAGCAATAAAATAACATACAACATAATGAAGATGTTTAACAGATTCAAGGATCAAACAGAAATAACAAGCTTTGTTAAATATAATGTATAGTAGGATGTAATGTAATTTGGAATGGTAGATTGGAATGTATTTCTCTGATCTGGGGACAGGGGAGATAACTCTACACAGCCAATCATCCCACTTCAAAGAAGATGCTGTAAGGTTGCTCCATGCTTGAGAGGAAACAGATGGAGCGTAATGGCAGGGTCTCAGTTAATTACTCTCAGCACTCCACAATTAGGGATACATCTGCTCATCAGTCTCCAATTCTGACATATTTATTTTCATTGGGCTTCAGTGGAACTAAACCCAAACAAATGGTAACCATATAAACTAAGCTTGTTATCCCTGTTTGATCCTTAAATCTGTTAAACATCTTCATTATGTTGTATGCTAATTTACTGTTTACCCTCTACCTATATGTATGGACTGGTAATATCCATTTCATTGCATTTATACCTGATTATTCTCATTTAGCTATCATGGCTAAGAGTCATTGATGAGCTTACCTTTAATGAATTTATTATCCAATTTTAAAACTATATTAAGTCCATGGCCACCACTATGTTTTGTGACAGTGAATACCCTAAATTAATTATGTGCTTGCAAAAAAGTACTCCTTTAATCTAAGACGAATCTATTACCTGTCAGTTTTCATTGGGTGACCTTTAATTTCATTTTCATGAAAGATTTTTATAAAGTTTTTCCAAACTGTTGGTATCACATTTATAAAGCTCCATCATTTTCTCCTTAGTCATCTTTTCCTAAACTTTAGTTTGCCTTTCCTTTAGTGAAAGGGTTCCAACTCCTTGATGACCTTGGTTGCCATCTTAGGCATTTTCTTCCATCTCTAAAATATTATTTTTCAGCTGAAGAGAACAGAATTGTACATAATACTCCAAACAAAGCTACACCATAGACTGGCAATAAAGATTTGTGTTGCTATCATTTCCCCATTAACATATTGGCCACTTTATTTTCAATTATAATCCCTGCTGTGGAATTTCTTTTTTTTTTTTTAATCTTCCCTATGAGGGAAGGAGGAGCTGTGGTGGCTCAAGTGGTTAAAACGCTGAACTGCAGGCTGTGGAAGGTCGGTAGTTCAGCAGTTCGAGACCCGAGGGTGCCGCATGACGGAGTGAGCTCCCGTCTCTAGTTCCAGCTCCTGCCAACCTAGCAGTTCGAAAGCAAGCCATTGCAAGTAGATAAATAGGTACCACTTTGGTGGGAAGGTAACAGCGTTCCGTGCGCCTTGGTGTGTAGTCATGCCGGCCACATGACCACGGAAACATCTTCGGACAGCGCTGACTCTTCGGCTTTGAAACGGAGATGAGCACCACAACCCTAGAGTCGGATTCGACTGGCTTTTCGAGCAAGGGAACCTTTCGAGCAAGGGAAGTCTAGAGAATTTGGGACTTTTTAATTAGAAAAAAACACAAGGATGGAGGCACAAGTATTTCCACGTAAACATATGCCTCTAATTAGGGCAAACTGAGCCATGTTGCAGGTTCAGATTCTCATTACCCTGAGCTACTGCCTGGACTTCACAAGAGGTGGCTGGATTGTGGCTCTCTCTTCCTCCACCCCAAACCCACTACAACCTCTCCATCCACCTTGACGACTGCTAAAGAACTGACATAGGGTTAAGGAGGCAGGTGACACAGAGACAAAAGAATATGAAAGCTAACAAATAATTAACAGAAATGAACATTCTCTGGTTTCTTTCCCAGTTGTACTTGGTATGATGGGAAAGTGCAGTGCAGGAGGAAGTCCTCAGTTAATCCCAAAATCAATATATGCTCCTAGCATGAGGACAGTGGCACTGTACTTTTCCTGCCAAAAATATTTGAGTGTCCACCCCCGCCACCCAATCCGTCACAGGCATACTGAACTTGAAATCTATCCTGTATAATTGTGAGATGCTTGTGAACTTTGAAGCTTTATGCTTCTGTATGTCTCTCTTGTCATGTATCTGAAATATGAGCTATATGATTTTTGGTTACAGTATGTTTCTATAAGGAAGAATATAGCAATTGTAACATAGTGAAAAGATTTGGCAATTATGTAAGACACCCCAGTTGCAACAAATATGGGTTATTCACTGAAGCAGACATGTAGCTTACAATGACTTTCTTTATTCTCTGCTCAAGTGATCGTCATAGCAAGAAGGTTCTTTCCTTCTGTGTACCTTGAAGGGAAGTTTTCCATGGGTATATAACAGATCAGAGACAGTAGTTTTCTCTGGTGTTTTGTTAATTGTTATGATGCATACAGAAAAACTTAGGAAGATGTGTTAAATGAGCATATGACATTGTTTGGAGACTTTTAACCAGTCTTTTGTAATTTCTTCTTATGCATATTAATGAAAGACAAAAATCAAAAACACTGTGGTTGATAAATTTTGGAAAACCTCATCATTTAGAGAAAATGATAAAACTTCTTAAATCATAAGTGTGCTTCTTAAATCATAAGTATGCCCTTCTTTTTGAAATACTCATCTGTGTATTTGTACGTTAAAAAACACAGTATCAAATCAATTAAGTAGCTCTCCAGTTCTCTTGCTTGTCAAATATGGATACTTGTCAAATATGGATAAAGCTGGAACTGGCTTTTGTACAATTCAGTCAGCTGGAAAATTAAACTTAAAAGCCAGCCCATGAAAAAAATGGTTTTCTGCACCTTACATGTTTGAATTTTGACTTGATTGGCCAGAAAATGCCCATCTTTATTGCAAAGCTGTGGAAAACATTATGGAATGCAGTGACTAACAGGATAAAAAACTGGCCACTTCATTAAAGCTGCCACAGTTTATGGTTTTTTCTTAATTCTACTGAACAATTCTCTGCTGATAATTATTACTACAAAGGTAGTAAATTATAGTCACTCCTACTCAGGACACGCGTTGCATCTAAAATGAAATGGACTATATTTGAAGTGTGACAACTGAAAATGTGTATTTAGTGGCCCACCCGCGTTTGCCACAATTTACAACTAGCCAGCCCTGAGATAAACTATGATGGTGTTCCTGAGTTGCCCTCTTTTTTGCTTGGTATAACCCAGTTATCTATATATCTAACTCCCAGCTGTGCCCCCTATGTGTGGATACTTATTTCCACAAATAGGGGGCAGATGGAGGGTAAAGAGATTTTTCTGCAAACTTGGGGCACCCCCTAGGTGTGCAAAAAAAAATCTTAAATCTTTAAAAAGCCATACAAGGGGGAGTAATTCCCACCCAAAGTAAAGTAGCATTTTCTGTGCAAGTGCAGAGAATGAACTTACCTCCAGCATTCATTGGCGGTACAGAGGAACCATCCTGGATTTAGGGGTGCTGGCGAAGCTAAAAGCCTCACTGGGCCTGGCAGTGGTGGAGCCCAGGAGCATGCCACCAGCAACAGTGAAAACCATAAGTCGCACTGGGTCTGAGAGTGGGAGGGGGGAAGCCTTGGCGACCATGTCACAAGCAGCTCCAGGCGAGCCAAAAAGAGTGGGGAAAGGAAGCCTCCATGAGCCCTTGCATAGGCAGAGTCACAGATTCAGCCCCTGGCATCTCCAGTTCAAAGTATTCTGTAGTACCTGATGTGAAAGACTTCTGCCTGAAACCCAGGAGAGCTGCCAGTCAGAGTAGACAGGACTGACCTTGATAGATGAACTGTCTGAGTCAGTTTTTAGGCAGTTTTATGTGTGTTTGTGTGCATGAGCCAGATTAACGCAAATACAGCACTAGATTTTGTATCCCTGCTGCAACCACTTATCTATTACCAGCAACTGGTAACAGCAAATAAATCTTTTTACCCAAGCTTTTAATTAGGGTTTTTTTTAATCTTCTCAGCTTTTTAAAGGTCTGATTCTGTTTCATGAATAGTTTAATGGTTTGTGTATAAATACTGTGGTTTTTAATTGTAAACTGCCTCAAGCTGGACTCTGAGAAGGTGACACAGGAATATTCTAAATAAATAACTAAACACACTGAAAGCATGCCAATACTGCTCTAACTATTACTAGCCACTTCAAGCATATTAACAGAATGGCAGAATACAAACATAAAAAATAAATCATCATTTGTGCACAACCCACAATGTAGGTATTTACAAAAGATGGGGCATAAGTTTAAGGTTCATGCTCACAGACGCTTTCCCACTGTCAACTCGGCAGACAACATTCAGTGTACAAGAAGGCTCTTCTTATGGAAAACTATGGGGTAGTTCACATGACTGGAATCTATTTTTATGGATTCTTCTCATGATAGCCATCCACCCATTTTTTCGATACAGGTACCTATGCAAATAGGGTCTGATTCCACACTGGACATTCCAGCAGACTGAGGAGATACCACAAGCCTGATCCTCATTAATGCACATTATTTTGTATAAAATCCATGCATCAGAGCAGTGCGTATAAATCTTTTTACCCAAGCTTTTAATTAGTGTTGGAGCTGGATGTTTGTTTAAAAACTAATTCAATTTCAAATACAAGACAAATTACATACTATCAAGAGCCATTTCAGCAATACAGTACAGCGATATTATTTGAAAAATGTACCATCTTCATCAATCAATGATTTATTGCATTTATATCTTGCATCATAGAATCCAAGGCGTCTTATATAGGATTCCCAAAAAGGATCCCTTCACTAGGCACTAGCCTAACCCTCATGCAAGGCTGCAGCATCACATGCTCTCTAACCGTACTCTGGTTCTAAAGTAAACAGATAGGAAGCTACCACATCAGAGTAGCAAAAGTCTAAGTATTGTATATAATATTTAAGCCTGCCTAGTCTACAGACCACCAGAACCTGTAGAGCTAAAAACTCGATGTTTAATGTTTATGTCCAAGTGACCTCTGGTGGAAGCTTGTATAATAGTACATTGACCCTTCCAGATGCTATTAAATAATCTAGTAATCATGAACTAAGGTCCTAGGCAGTCTTTGACAAAGAGGACACAGGTTTCCCATTTTGCTGCTAACCACCCAAATTTCTTTCTATCATGATGTATATATGAGGTGCCTCTTCCCCAGCTCTTTAAAGACAGAAGCAATCCTTGGATAAGCCCAAACTGCACACATCTGCAGAAGAAACTCAGTTTAGAGCAGCTGTGCATGCTCTTTTGACCCCAAAGAGTCAAGAGCTTCCTACATTTGAAATGACTGCACATGTACATAGCTGCCATAGGAGCGTGCTGTTTAGGGATGCCAGTCCCCAGGTAGGGGTGGGGGATCCCCCAATTTTTGGGGATCCCCCCAGACGTTGGCCAGCTGGCCGGTGGGGGGAAGCCCCACCCCCAACAGTCATCCACAGCCCTACTTGAAAAGAGTGGGCACCATTCCTGCCTGCCCCACAAGCTGCAAATTCACCCACTTTCCCCCCAATCATTTAAAGGGAACATTCCCTTTAAATGGTTGGGGGAAAGTGGGAAGCGTATGTGCATCCCCAATGTGATGATGTCACTCTGCATGACATCATCACGTTGGGGACGTTGGTAAGTGTAATGTGATGCATAATGGGACAAAAAAAATCTCAGCTTCAAGTATTGTCTAATGGGGTCTGAACTGGCTGAGACTGAGAGGGGAAAAGATCTTGGGGTCATAGTGGATAGCTCAATGAAAGTGTCAACCCAGTGCACTGCAGTGGTGAAAAGGGCAAACTCTGTTAGGTATTATTAGGAAAGGAACTGAACATAAAACGGACAATATTATAATGGCCCCTATAGATCTGCGGTGCAGCCTCATTTGGAATACTGTTTGCAATTTGGTCACTGTCTCAAAAAGGACACCACAAAGCTGGGGAAAATGTAGAAGAGGGCAACCAAGATGATTATGGAGTTCCCTGGGAGGAAAGCTGAAGCGTTTGGGGCATTTCAGTTTATAAAAGAGACAACTAAGAGAGGACATGATAGAGGTTTATAAGATTATGCACAGGGTGGAAAGAGTTGGCAAATAGAACCTTTTGTCTCCCAAAGTACTAGAACTAGAGGGCATCCAATGAAGCTGATGGGCAGTAGATTCAGGATAGACAAAAAAAAATACTTCTTTACACAACGAGTGATTAAAATGTGGAATTCGCTGCCAGAAGATGTAGTGACAGCCACAAGCACAGACAGCTTTAATAGGGATTAGAAAGATTCATTGGAGATAAGTCTATCAGTGTCTACTACCCACGGTGCCTAAAGGAACCTCCATGTTCAGAGGCAGTAAACCTCTGAATATCAGTGCCAGAAGCCAACATCAGGGGAAGGCTTCAGCCTCTATGCTCAGTTGTTGGACCTTCAGAGGAAATGGTTGGCCACTGTATGAAACAAGATGTTGGACTAGATGGACCACTGGTTTCATCTTGTGTTCTTGCCTGAAATGAGTTTGACCCATGTTGATTCACGTTTACTGTTCAGTTGGTAATCAGCTTTTAGAACACTTGATCCACACAAGCTTTAATATGATAGGAATTATGTTCTTAAAAAACCCAGTTGTATTAGATTTGTGCTCAGCCCTGCATCTTGGCACTTTTCTCAATCTTCAAAGGATGAGACAAACATTATAAATTCACATTCAAAAATTAACTTTAGATGGCTTAACCAAGGACAAAATCTAGAGCATTCCAAAATATACAGATTCTCCTGGGAATCTATGCCATTTTTCAACTTTTAATCTCCATTATAATATCACAAAATAGAGATAAAAATTATTACTAAACCCTGAAATTTAAATTCCTTTTGATTTTGTGCCACTATAAAGATGTATTACTCCTTTTTGGACTTTATAAAAGGAAGGTTTAAAGAGCTGCAAGTCCTCAGACTATATCCAGTATTTAAATATCTGACAGATCGGTAATGCAAGACTACTCGCTTCTGTTTTGCCTAGGGAATTTTGGGGAAGCCAAGCAATGTTGTTGCTAACAGTATGATATTGACAACGTATTAGATTTAGGGTAACCCAGGTTCAAATCCCTGCTTAGACATAATGTCACTAGAGGACACTCTTTAATTCAACTCACAGGGTTCTTCTGAGGATAAAAAGGGGAGAGAAAGACATGTACACCACCCTGAACTCCTGGAAGAAGCTAAAAATATACTAGATATTTAGCCATCACCATAACCCAATTCAACTTTAAAACAGATGTCTAAATTAGTACTATAAAGCATTTCACTTGACTGTATAAATCTTAGATTAGCAAGGAATGCTACCTCTATAACTGGAACATTTTCTTTAAGTTCAGATGTATGTGATGCCAGTAAACCAATCACACGGGCTGCTTTGGCACGTCTGCAACGAAATGCATTTATTAACATTGTTTTTTCTGCATTGTTTAAGATATACCATGTCTGATACCTTTTTTCTTTTTACATTGAGTCTCAATGAGAAAGACAGGCTATAAATAATAAATATTTAAATTTATAAAAATATAAATTTTTAATTTTTAAATGTATAAAAATATATAATTTAATGAGAGCTACTGATTTGGAAATCCCGACCCCCCCAAAACAACAGGATGCCCAAAAGAATCATAAGCATGAGAAGTCCTACTCCATTCTTCATTGAAAAACACAAAATGAAAACAGAGTTGCACTTAACTGTAACTGTAGTTCATTGGCTTCCTCTGTGCAGACACACATTGGGACTGCGCTTGCGCAGGCTGGCCACAGACATTTTCTTTCTAGCTTTAAAACTCTAAAATGGGGTAACCCGCCCCTTTTGGTGATGGCGCATATGCAACTTTTCCTG